ATGTAAAAGGAACACTGTCAGGTCCCCAAAACCTCTGTGCTTCCCTTGCATATATATTATACTTTGGGGGCCTGCCATTCCGCTGAGTGGAGGGGGAGCTTGGGATTACTTTCGCTTTCTACTTTTCCTATCCTGCCTCTATCCTTGAGAAAGGAATGTGTCTCCCTTATCAGGGAGATGGTTACAGAGAAACGAAAGCTGGAGAAGACCTTGAGATGTGTGCCAACTGTGCCAGTTACCACCTGTGGATTGGCTGAATTTCCAAAGGAAATTATGACTTGGTGGGAGGAGGAATATTGCTTGCTTAACTATACAGTTTCTGCGGGATTTTCCCCAGATTTCTCCTTGATTTCCCTACTGTCACTGACCCCTAATAATGCATTATTTGACCAAGTGACAAAATTAGTTGATCAGAGGAATGCTGTGGATATAATTTACTTAGACTTCAGTAAGGCATTTGATAAAGTAGATCACAACCTACTACTTGGTAAGATAGAAAAATGTGGGTTAGACAGCGTCACCACCAGATGGATTCGTAGCTGGCTGACCGGCTGTACTCAGCATGTGGTCCTCAATGGAACCACACCTACATGGAGGGAAGTGTGCAGTGGGGTGCCCCAGGGCTCTGTTCTAGGCCCAGTGCTCTTCAACATCTTCATCAACGATTTGGATGAGGGGATAGATGGGGAACTCATCAAATTTGCAGATGACACCAAGCTGGCAGGAATATTCCAATATCTCAGGGCTTGCCACAAAGAAGAGGGAGTCAAGCTATTCTCCAAAGTGCCTGAAGGCAAGACAAGAACCAACGGATGGAAACTAGTCAAGGAGAGAAGCAACCTAGAACTAAGGAGAAACTTCCTGACAGTTAGAACAATTAACCAGTGGAACAACCTGCCTCCAGAAGCAGTGAATGCTCCAACACTGGAAGTTTTTAAGAAGAGACTGGACAGCCATTTGTCCGAAATGGTGTAGGGTTTCCTGCCTGAGCAGGGGGTTGGACTCAATGACCTCCAAGGTCCCTTCCAACATCATCATCATCATCATCATCATTATTATTATTATTATTATTATTATTATTATTATTATTATTATTATTATTATTATTATTATTATTATTATTATTATTATTATTATTATTATTATAAAGTAAGGCGAGATATGCATAGTACTCAACCTGGAGAAGCTGCTGTCCTACTGGGGGAATCACAAACTGTTTCTACATGGAGGAGTTCCAGGCAGAGAAATGCTCCAAAGATCTCCTCTGCCTACAAGCTGATGAGAGCATCTCCAGGGACCTGGAAGAAGCCGGGCCTTCTGGTGAAGAAGATCGAACCAGATGGTCACTCGGGGTTGGTAAGAAGGAAGGATGGGATGATAAAGCCCCAAAAGTCACTCTTACTCAAGGCAGAGGGAAGAAAAAAGCAAATAAAAAGAATCCAGAGCCTGCCCCACCCGACAAAGATGGAGAAAAGAAGGAACTAAAATCAGGACCAATGGAAGCAGTGATGGAGTATGTGAAAAAGACCCTCAATGAATTTAAGCTGCAGCTGAAAGAAAGCCATGAGTCGGAAGAAGAATTGGAGAGGGAATCGGAGGAGGAAGAATCAGAGGTCTGAGAGACGGCAGCAGCTGGAGTCCAGGAGGCAGCACAGTGGTGGGGTCGTCCATGTCAAGGAGCCAGCAGCAGACCTCAGCCAGCTGAGCTGAAACCAATTCCAATTGGAATGAAGTTTGATGGAGACCCAAAGTGATTGGGGTATTTCCTGGCACAAGTGTTCACCTACATGCAGATCTATGGGAGAACACTGCCTACCGATGTCAAGAAAGTTCGTGTTGTCACCGTGGCTCTGGAAGGTGGAGCAGCTGACTGGATGATGACCATTTACAACTGCAATGTGCCTGAATGGAAAAACTTCAATTGTTTTGTGGCCGTACTCTGCAGGCATTTCGAAGACCGGCTGGCCAATAAGAAAGCACAGGAGTGGATTAAGACAGTGAAGCAAGGAAGGAGACCAGTCGCTGAGTATACCAAAGAGTTCAGAGAGTTGGCCAGTCACCTGCACTGGCCGGAGGACAACCTGGTAAGCTGTTTCCAGGATGGACTCAATGAAGAGCTGTATAATGCCTGTGTAGCCCATGGAGCCCAGGGCGGCTGTATGACTGGTACCTGCTAGCTGAGGAAGTGGAGATTGATCAATGCAAACATCAACTGGTGAGACCAAGCTTCAAGCAGCAGGCCAAGAAGTGAGGGGAGACTGCACGAGCTTTGCCTGCCCCACCTCACAGCACCGCCTGCTTCAAATGTGGCAAAGAGGGACATCGAGCCGTGGATTGCCATAGTAAGATACCTGCCAAGAGAGGGGATTGTCTACTGGCTGGGAGACCCCCGAGGACCCCATCGTGCCCAGAGAGACTACAATGAGATCCGAGGAAGTTGTAGAGCTCCTCTGGGATGACAATTGAGAGGGTCAAGCTCCGACTCCACATTATGATGACACAGGAGCAGCGGAGGACTACTACGAGGACAACCCATTGGTGAGTGGGCCAATTGACCCCATAACAGTGCCCCTAGAACTTTCTATACCTGGCACTGGGAGGACAGTGAAATTAGCAGCTTTGCTGGACTCAGGGTGTACCCAGTGCATGATTAGCCCAGAACTAGTGGGGAAAATGGGGATCTCCCTCAGGAGGCTTAAGACTCCAATTACTTTTTGCCAACTGGATGGTTCGGTTGCAGGGGGGGTGCCTGCCATTTTTGCCACCAGAACCTTACACTTCGAATTGGGTGGCCACATAGATACTTTAACGTTTATTGTGGCCCTTGGAATGGAGTGGCCATTAGTTCTGGGACTGGCTTGGCTAACAAATTGGAACCCCATGATCAACTGGATGGAAGGTCAACTGAGATTCCCACAGGGGAAATCACTAAAGAAAACAGTGGAAGATGTGGATTACGTCGTGATTTTGCCTCCGCCCTCAGTGATTCAGACTTGCAAAGCCTCCCAATGGAATACTGAGATTTGGCTGAAACTTTCAGTGAGCAGAGGGCAGACAAACTCCCTCTCACCAGCCCACAGACTGGAATTGAAATCATCCCAGGAGCGAAATTGTTAAAACCTAAAATGTACTCGATGACTCCTAGGGAGTGGAACGAACTGGAAAAAATCATCAAAAAGAACTTAGAGTGGTTGTTTATCAAGCCAGCTAGACCCCAGGTAGCAGCCCCTGTGTTATTCAGAGAGAAGAAAGATGGCTCTCTTCATCTCTGCATGGATTATAGGAGTTTGAATGCTGTGTGCATGAAAAACATGTATCCATTACCTTTAATGAAAGATATATTAGCACACCTATCAAAAGGAAAAAAAAATCTCAAAACTGGACTTGAGAGAGGCTTATTATTGCATAAGAATAAAGAAAGGAGATGAGTGGAAAACTGCTTTCAATTGCCCATTGGGGTGCTTCCAATTTAAAATTCTTCCCTTTGGGTTATAGGGGGGCCTGCAGTATTCATGCAACTGATCAATGAAGTCTTACTTGATCACCTGTATAAGGGGGTCCTAGTTTACCTGGACGATATCCTTATTTACACTGAGATAAAAGATGAACACATTAAGCTAGTCTAAGTGCTATTGCTAATAGTTTTGTAGAACATCTATTATAATTTTAATATGAGCATATAAATATTCCAGTTCAGTAAATCAGTTGTACATTTCACTTTTTATAATCATATCAAGGTCCTAAAAGAATATTATTCATTAAGGTTTATGGACAGATATTGCTACTACACGTATGGTGCATTTCTCTGCTTTAGATCTTACCTGCCACAACACTTGATTGTGAAATTGTTTCTTTCCTTCTTTCACTATTGTTCTGTGTCTGGACTTGGATAAATACAGAGATTGCAAAGCATGTGCCACAGCATAGACTGCATTGTAAATGTTGTAGCTTTGGCCACTCATGAGTGTTTCAAACACAGACTTAGGAAGGGTCTCAAGCTTCTCCTGTCCAGTACATTTTTTCTCAGACTTCTCTGTTTCAGGATTGGTGAAGAAACAGTTGAATGCCTGTTCCCAGAAATCTTTCCTAAAATTATCATGCTGGTTGTTGGTTGGACTTATGCTTTCAAGAAATTTTGGAAAGTCTTCAACCTCCTTTGTGTGAACTGCAAAGGATAAAGCACCTTGCAGGAAATGGATATCCCAAGATTTATGAAAGGAAATTGAAGTGTAATCTGTCTGAGCTGATGTAACCCAGATTTTTGTCTTCTTTGGTATATCCTCCACTTCTGCCAATTGCAAGTACATTCTCAGAAATGTTATGGACCTACTTTCACCATATA